GTTCTGTGAAACAATCAAGATGTGCAGCGAGGCAACTACAATGACAGCTTAGAAAGACCAGGGTTTTGCTCAGTTGCCTGGCTGTTTGATAGGCATTTCCTGCTATCCTAACTACATGGTTCTAGATGCTTTATCAGATTGAGAACTTAATATATTAAAATTCAGGTCAAAACTGACTGCACACAACAAAATAGTACATTTAAATAATTAGAATAACACAATTAAATACTTTTCCAAATTTGAGTAAAGTAGTAAATGAAGCCTGCTGAATTCGTAAGCATCAAAGTTTCCGCACATCTTTTATGATTCGTTGATATTAAAACTAGCCGCATAATTTGTTCAGCCAGTGCACAGGTGTTATGTTGGTAGTCATTTGAACTTTTCTCCTGATTATTTCCTTTACCTACAGCTGCCATCAAATAGGTGTTTGCCTGTGACTCCTGGCTTTGCAAAACCGATCTTACTCTGGCGCTTGACAGATGATGAGTTACCTCATCCCACACAACGCTGGTTTTGGCACTTGGATTTTCTCATCAGCATGAGTGCTATTGTGTAGGGCATTTGAATTCTGTTTTCAATACTAAGCCTGGATCTCTGAAATGCCACTGTTAAAAGAACAAAGACACTAACCAATGACGTTGGAATCTCCTATCAGATTTGTTGCCCAGGTCATGGTAACAGTCGATCAGAACAAAATCTGTTTCCCTTATCTGCAGAAAATTATGCTCGTGTAGAATATGGTCAACTAAATGTGGCAACTCAGGAGAAAAATAATAACTTCCTTAAAAAATTATTTATTTGAAACACACACACACATTCCAGGTTTCCCATCTGCTAGTTCACTTCCTAAATGCTCACAACAGCCACGACTGGGCCAGCCTGACGCCAGGAGCCAGGAACTCCACCTGGGTCTCCCTCATGGGTGGCTGGGACCTACGTACTTGGGCCATCACCACTGCTCCCCAGGATGTGCGTTAGCAGGAAGCTGGATTTGAAGCAGAGCTGGAATTCAATTCCAGCTGCTCCAGAATGGGATGTAGGCTTTCCAAGTAGCAGCTTCGCCTCCACAGTAGTGTTTCCTAAGAATTTCTTTGCTGGCTGTTTTTTCTAGAGAGCTAGGTGAAATTCCCTAAAGGACTTGATCAACTCTAGTCTCTTGGCCCCTTGGGTTTTTATTTTTCTTTTCTTATGTTGGGGTCTTGGAAGGGTGGGGAATGAAGGCTGGGTAGGTACTTTGTAGTCCAGGGCTCATGATAGCAGACATGTGTGTTCTCTTTCCACCAGTTTATAGTTTTTGTCTGCCTTTTCTTCATTTGAGAGTTTACAGAAAGTAAAGGCAAACCTTGATTCCTTTATTTGGCTTTGGAAACTGAGTTGTGATGTTGAATTTGGAAGTGTTGTGCTGTGCTGAGGTGGTCATGCATTTTGGGTGTGGGGAAGTCTGCTGCTGAAACCTGGTGGTAAGATTTCATCAGGTGGCCTGCTTTATCTCCCCTCTGTCCACCTGTTGTCCCACTGAACCCTCAGGTTTTGCAAATGGTGCCTGGGATTGTTTTTTTGCTCTTGAGCCACTGTCTACCTGGCTCTTTCCTGGCCTTTTTTTTTTTTTTTTTTTTGGGAGAATTAATTGAAGAGGTAAATAGATTAAATAGGCTTATGTAAAACCACCTGTCTTTGGGTTAGGGGAAGAAATAAGCCAGAACTAAGACTCCAGTTGAGATGATACTGCACAGTGTGGGCAGAGCCGCAGGGAGAAGTCTCGTGGACAGGCAGGCTTGTCTTTGATGTGATGTTCATTCTCTGACAAAACGGGTTTACCCGCGTTGTCAGTCCACCTGATTTTTCAAAAAATTTCTCTGAGGCTGTGCTGGATACACATCTCTTCTTTGGTTCTTGTTTCTGTATGTTGATTTCTAAGGTGATCTCTGCCATTTGGCAAAAGAGGGGGCTGAGCTTTGCCGTTGGAGGAATCGGGTTCTGCGTTTCCTCTGGGTATTCAGATGCTGTGGGAGACAGAATAACAGCCCCCAACTGGAACCAAGACGTGCAAGCAGCTCAGCTAGGGGCAGCCTTTGATAAAGCGTGTGTTAGGCCAACGTTAGCCTCATATTAAGTCAGATAGACTTGAATAGGCTTTGACAGAAAAGCTTCCCATGTTAATTTTGGGGTCCTGGGAGTGGCTCTGTCTGTTAATGACTTAGCCTAGAATTAATGGGCTGTTCTAAAATGGCTCATGGTTTTGTTTGCCAGAACCTCAGGCTTCCAAGACCCGTGATGTATTACTTGTTGGAAGGTGAAGGTACTTTTAGAGCAGGCCTGGCCCTCTGCGTGTGCCTCCCTCCAGCCTTTCACAGCTGCCTGACTCGCCCTGGGAGGAGCTGCAGGGCTCTGTGAAACACAGACCCTGCTCATTCTCAGAGTCCTCTTTGTAGAACTCAGTGCATAACTCATACACTGTAGCAGTCAGCCTTTTAAAGTATTCGTTTTATGGTCTTCAGCATATTTAGGAAGTTATGCACGTTATTAGCACCCACTCCAGAACATTTTCACCAGCCCCGAAAGGGACTCTGTCCCCGTGAGCAGTGATCGCGAAGTTCCCTGGACAACTGCTAATCATTTTCCATCTGAAGCTCTTGCCTACGTTACTGTGAAATCTGTTTCTCTAGCTTAGTGGTTGGATGAAAGGGGGAGAGGGAGTTATACAAGTAAACTCTTGGTTTATTTTCAGCTTTTGTTAGAAACAGTTTGTTAGTAGTGGGAGCCTTGCATGAGAGCGAAGGTAGTCTACAGCATCTCTGATTCCAGACCCCTTTATTGCTTAGGACTGCATTTTATCAGTTCTCAAACATGTTAAATGTTCTTTCCACTTCTTACCTACTCTTGCCTTTTAAAACGAAAGAAAAGAGGGCAGGAATTGGGCCTAGAGGTTATGACACATTCAGCCTGGGTTTGATTCCAGCTCCAGTTCCTGGCAGGGCATACTCTGAAAGGCATTGGTGATGGCTCAAGTAATTGGGTTCTTGTCTCCCACATGGGTGGCCTGGATTGAGTTCCCAGTTCCTGGCTGTAGCCCAGCCTAGACCTGGCCATTGTGAGCTTTTGGAGATTGAGCCAGTGGATGAGAGATCTGTTTATCAGTCTCTGTCTTTCTACCTCCCAAATAGGTTACATATATATATTAGAAAATGTTATATATATTAGAAAATGTTAAATGTGTGATATTGTGCAAATAATTGAGTCTGATCAGATAATGAAGTTAATTTATGGCAAATACCCTTTGGAGTTAGTTAATTCCAGAACCACTAGCAAAAGCATTTCACTTCCTCTTGACTTTTCTGTTTTGTAAGTCCTGGAATAATCAGAATGAATTATATATGTCAAAACCAGAAAAATAGATAGGTTGAATGGATCAAGGACTTAGATATGTGTGTCTAATATGTCTGAAGTAAATTCTTGGTTTTCCTGCCTCTTGGACTAGTAGCAGATCCTGAAGACAAGTGGTGATTGATTGTAAAGGCCAGCGGAGGTACCAGGCCTCAGCAGTTTGCCTTGGAAAAGCTAACAAAATCAGAGCTGTGTGAGGGCACCCGTGGGCAGCCAGGGCCTGCCCGCTGCGAACCCTTGGCTGCCGCAGGAGCTTATTAGCTGAGGCGCGTGCTCTCGCTGCTCATCTCTGCCAGACTTTCCTTGAGTGACTTCCTAGGGAACCCAAGTGCTGGACCCTCTCTCAACGCCTCTTCCTCTTCTGTGGCCCCGCGTTTTAGCCTGAGCTCTGTGGACGGCTTGGTGAGCAGGTTCCCCGGGCGGATGTACTTCACCTGGGGCCCCTGTGGTGGAGAGCAGGGAGTGTGGACGCACAGAGTCCATGGGTATTAGGTGGTGGGTGTTGGGGAAGCCAGTGAATAGGCACTGAAAGTTGAGTGGGGCGTGGTTGTTGGGTCTTTTACCTTACAAGGTGCGCTGCTTTCTCCTGCCCATCTGGCTCCATTGCATTCTTCTAAATGATAGATGCTGCAGGCCCGGAATGCATAGAGCTGTCCCTGCTTCCACTTGGCGGAGCCAACAAGGGTGCATTATTAGGGATGAGCACATCAAAATATTGTGGATTAAAAAAATGCCTTGCATGGAGTTGAGTCCTTTGAAACAAGGGCATTCTTGTGGAAAAGGTGAATTTCCTTCAGGGATAGTTAGGTTTTCTGTGCAGACTATGAAGACATTTTGCGAGAGGTAAGAGAAGAATCTATAGATTGTTCTATAGAAGATTATCTATCAGTTGGATTAGACCTAATCCCTTTTCTTCTGTGTTTAAAAAAAAAATCAGCTTTTGCCTTGCCTGGAAATAAAGAGAAAAATGAAATCCCTCTTACCTACCCTCACCCTTCATCCACTGGATCCTCACTGTCTTGTAAGGACTCCTGTAGGCAGGCATCTGCTTCCTTCTAGGAACGTGTGGGTGTGTCCGTGTGTAACTGTATTGCTTTTTAATGGCGTATCCAATCCCTAAAGAGGTGCGTGATTTTACTTTTAGTTGATTCGATTTTCTCTGTTCCAGTTAAAAAAAAAAAAGAAGAAAGAAAAAAGCCCAGGTATCTTCCTGATAAACTTTGCAGTGTAATGACATGTGGGGAGTTGCCATGAATTACTGTGCACGTGACCTTGTGTGCTACATGAAGAGCTTTCTGTATTCTGGTTATTGTTCTGGGGTTGCTTCTTACAGACTGCAGTATGCTCTTTGTTAATTTCTGTGAAATGACATTTTATGAGGAAGGAGCAGGCATGGTACAGGGAGGTCCTTTGGGGTAATAAGATAGGCTTTTGTGGCCACTGCTATGTTCTTTTATGTGCTTCTTCGGTGTGTTGGTTCACAGTTAAAAATAGAGCTCTAATTAAAATGGGCACCCTTGCTAGAAATAAGAACTATATTTCAATTAGTAAATTTCCTGTTTCCTTACCATGTGTTTTTGTTTTGTTCCCTTTTATTTATTTATTTTTTATAACAGCAAGCAAGGGCTGAGCAGGAAGAAGAATTCATCAGTAACACTTTATTCAAGAAAATTCAGGCTTTGCAGAAGGAGAAAGAAACCCTGGCTGTAAATTACGAGAAGGAAGAAGAGTTCCTCACTAATGAGCTCTCCAGAAAATTGATGCAGGTAAATTATCTTTTCTACCCTCTCATCTTCCTTGCCTGTTTTCCTCTCTAGGAAAAAAAAAAAGAAAATGGACTCTGATCGAGCACTTAGCTTGAAGCATTTGCTGATGAGGTTGTAGCTGGGAATCTTTGGAGATTAAAATGCTAGGTAGTGTTGGCAGCGTTGTGATCCTCAGGACTGTGGTTCTGTAGCTCATCTGCTAGGTAAGGTGAGAGCCTGTACCCAGAGCTTTTCAAAAAATTGCTGGTGGGGCCAGCATTGTGGCACAGTGAGTTAAGCTACTTCCTGCAATGCCGGTATCTCCCATGAGCACCAGTTTTGAGTCCTGGCTGCTCCACCTCTTAACCAGCTCCCTGCTGATGCACCTAGGAAAGCAAGAGCAGATGGCCCAAGGACTTTGGCCCCTGCAGCCGTGTGGAAAACCCAGACTGAGTTCCAGGCTCCTGACTTGGGTATAGCCCAATCCTGGCCTTTATGGCCATTTGGGGAATGAACCAGTAGATGCAAAATCCCTCCCTCTATATCTCTCCCGCTCTCTCTGTAACTCTGCCTTTCAAATGAAAAAATAAATCTTAAAAAAAAAAAAAATGCTGACAGGGGACAGTGTTGTGGTGTAGCAGGTAAAGCCTCTGCCTGCCATGCTGGCATCCCATGTGGCTGCTGGTTGGAGACCTGGCTGCTCCAATTCCGATCCAGCTCCCTGCTAATGTACCTAGGAAGGCAGCAGAAAATAGCTCAAGTGCTTGGGCACCTGCACTCACATGGGAGACCAGGAAGAAGCTCCTGGCTACAGACTAGCCATTGTGGCCATTTAGGGAGTGAACCAGTGGATGGAAGATCTCCTTCCCTCCTTCCCTCTCTCCCTCTCCCTCCCTCTCTCCCTCCCTCTCTCTCTCTCTCTCTCTCTCTCTCTCTGTCTCTCTCCCACCCTCCCTTCCACCTTGTAAACTCTATGACTTTCAAATAAATAAATAGGGGGCTCAGTGGGTTTTAATAAGGTTATAATATGATATTCAAGGCCTTTGAAAAATTCTGTAGATTATTTTCTGACCTTCGCACATATATGAACATATAAGAAATTACCGGAAGGCTTGGTGTATAAACTTTAGAAACTTAAAACTGCAGGATCCAGCTTTCTCTCCATCTTTCTCAAATTCTCATTTTCTACCTAATTACTAAATAAAGATATTCTAATTGTCTTCTATTAAATCTGATTGATGTGGTAGCTATTGAAGTGTAAAGAATAGAGAAACACAAGCATTTCTGTCTTGCAGAGATTTACTGAACTGAAACTCTTTGTTGATTCTTTTGCATCGTGATTTAGAGATAAAAGGAGGAAGGAGGTTAGTTTGACCTGTGACTACGTCTCACCATGGCAGTGTTAGATGACTTACTCTGTGTGGTGCTTCTAGAACTATATTTAGGGATGCAATTATAGGTTGTTTTTCCTGAGTTTAGTACGTGATCAGGTGCCCTAATTTTTTTTTCCATTTTTTTAAATTTGAAAGCTAGAGAGAGAGAGCTGCCATCTGCTGATAGACTCCCAAATGCCTACAACAGATGGAGCTGGGCAAGGCCAAAGCCAGGAGCCAGGAATTCAATCCAGGTCTCCCACATGGGTACAGGGACCCAATTCCTTGAACCGTCACTTCTATAATCGATATCTGAGCTGGGTCTCAAACCCAGGCATTCTGATGTGGAATGTGTGTGTCTTAGCCAGAGTCCTGACCTGTAGGCCAGTTATCCTTATGAGCCTTATGAGCCCTAGTTTATAAGACTACAAGCAACATTTATTTTTCTTTCCCTTTTCCTTTTTTATTTTTAAGATTTACCTATTTACTTGAACGAGTTACAGAGAGAAAGGGAGAGACAGAGAGAAAGAAAGATACTCCGTCCATTGGTCCACTCCCCAGATGGCCTGGGCTGGGCCACACCGAAGCCAGGAGCCTCATCCAAGTCTCCCATGTAGGCGGCAGGGGCCCAAAGGGTCATCCTCTGCTGCTTTCCCCAGGCCATTAGCAGAGAGCTGGATTGGAACTGGAGCAGCCAGGACATGAAACAGTGCCCACATGAGATGCTGGCATCACAGGGAGCAGCTTTACCCGCTTTGCCACAGCACTATTCCTAAGAAACATTTCTGTTTTTAAGTTAACATTGTTAATGTTTGAGATCTGTGGCCCATGTATAGTATAAAAGGGTCAGAATCTAGCCAGATCATGTTCCTTTTCTCTCTGAAGTTTCATTTCCAGTGAGAGAGATTGTGCACTCTATGCTTGGGCTCCCATTCACTTCCCATAACCCTCTGCTCTTCTGAGACTTTGGTGTCCCTTAAGATGATTAGAAATAGAAGAGTCCTGTGCACAGAAAGGGAAGTTAGTTACAGTAATAAAAACACTTGCCATAGAAAGACTTGAACTTAAAGTTTAAGCTGTGGGCACCCTATAAAAAATGCTGTAATCTAGGGAAATACAGTGACTTATTGTTGTCATACTTTTTACAGCTTAAAAAAAAAACTCTGCTTGATCAGAAGGAAAAAATGTGTATAATAAAACCTTAGGAAAATCTTTTTGTGAAGAGATTTGAGTAGTGTCTAAACTGTGTTTGACAAACAGTTTTTGCCAAAAGTGGTATATAATATGTGGCCCTGGTCTTGGCACAGCCCTCTCTTACATGTGCCCTCAGGAAAAATGGTGTAGGGTGGAGATTGTGTGAAGACACTGGGGAGCCCTAGGTGGCTTGATGGTGATCCACTGTGCAGAATCTAGGCGAATGTCTCTGCATGCCCTTGGCACAGTCTCACATGCACCCCAGCTTCGTTTTTAAGCTTTTAACCGTTTCTGAGCATGCAATTCAGTACCATTTAAGTGTATTCATATTGTTGGATAACCATCACCCCCATCCATCTCCAGAACTTTCCCAAACTGAAACCCTGTAACCATGTTGACAGCAATGCCTCATTCGCTTCCTCTGGCTCTTGGGCAGGAGGTAGGTACTCTGAGGTTGAGATCCTTGACAACTTCTCAGGCTGTATCTGTTCGGCAGCATGGCAGGTGACCTGTTGCTTCACACACCAGGTGCCGTGGCATGCTCACTTTGTAATTAGCGTGCACAAGCCCGCCCTCTGTTGGTCGCGGTGCAGGTGATCTCACGTCTGCCCTGTGAAGTCCTGTCCGCTCATTCCCCAGACTCCCGGTACATATTTCCCTAATGGTTTCAATGAGTCCTTTGCTGAATACCCACATTTTCTGCCACCCAGCTTGGAAGTACTGCTCTCCATCCGGAAGATTTTTAGAGTAATTGATACCAGTAGACTTTTCCAGAGGTGTAATTACTTTAGTATGGCTTTCCAGGATGTTTGCTTCTGGATAGGACCTTACTATGAAAAGCCTGCTAAGAGAAACCAATTCTGCCAAGTGTCACCAATGGACAAATGGGTGAATTGACCTGTTGACCAGGGACTGTGAGTGTTTTTCACCCAAAGGCCAGGGAGAGGCTATTTATAGGACAGATTTGTTTCATCATCCTGCTTTAGCTGTTATCTCTGATAGTGTTTGCTCGGTGCTTTTATGTGCATTTCAAAGGGATTCTTTGATCCTGAAAACAAAACGGGAATATTGCTGTAGAGGAGCCTTCTGTCTTCCTGGCTGGCATGGCCAAACTGGTATCCAATAATACCTTTGAAAATGGAGTCTAGTTTACTTAGGTATGGAGAAGTCATCCACGAGCCTTATAGGAAGATCAGGTTTGGGAGGTAGACACTTCCAGTCAGTTAACCTGCACCCCAACAAACAAAACCAAACACAAAAGAGAGCCTGTAGCTTTTCTCTCTTGCTTTTGTGGTGACCCAATAGACAAACAGGAAATTACATCTTCATTTTGTGAAAACACTTGTCTGAAAAATCTATGTCTTTCTGGATCCAGACCCTGTGATTGACTAATTCAGTGGTGAGAAATTGTCTTAAAAAGAGTCCTCTATTACTTTTGGAAAGTCCAGCAGAAGCTCCAGAGTGCCTTGAAAAGAAGTTGCAGCTTAGTCATTGTTTGTCATTTAAATTTACAAGAAATGCTTTGTAACCAAACACATCATCAGAAATTAATATATCACATGTACAGTCAAAAGCTGACCAAATGTTAGTATCATTTATGCTTGAGTGCTGAGCTTACAGGTTATTTTTTTAAAAGATTTATTTTATTTATTTGAAAGATAAAGTTGCAGAGAGTCAGAGAGAGAGAGAGAGAGGTCTTCCTTCCACTGGTTCATTCCCCAGATGGCTGCAACAGCCAGAGCAGCGCTGATCCAAAGGCGGGAGCCAGGAGCTTCTTCCGGGTCTCCCATGTGGGTGCAGGGGCCCAAGGACTTGGGCCGTCTTCTACTGCTTTCCCAGGCCATAGCAGAGAGCTGGATCAGAAGTGGAGCAGCCAGGACTAGAACCGGCGCCCATATGGGATGCCAGTACTGCCGGCCAGGGCTTTAACCCACTGTGCCACAGTGCCGGCCCCGAGCTTACAGGTTATTAAAGTTTTCTTAGTACCTCTTCTAATTTTCTAAAGGCAGTATTTGCATTCCCTTTGGAACTAGAAGATATTTCTTAAAAAAGGAAACTTTAAAGCGCTCATGCTTGTTTTGTCCTTAGCTTCGGACACGTTGCCTGCTCCTCTGAGCATGAGGGCTTTAAGTCCTGCTGTCCAGGTGCATCTTTGTCGTGGGCAGTGATGCACCGAATCCCCTTGCAGAGTCAGGTTCATAGACAGGTAATAGAAGATTCTGTACTGCCCATCTCATTAAGAGCCGGTATAATCGAGCTGCTTTAATGATTAGCTTAACTGTCTTGCTATTCTTTGTGTGGTTCACTGCACTGGCCTTCTGTCATGAAGCAGTTAACCGCAGATCACTGATACCAAGTAGAAAGACATGTTGTTGCTGTGGTTGATGGTTTTTAAGCAGTTGTGAATTTTGCCACCTGCTTTTTTGCAAACTGGATGGATTAGGTTTACTGCCC